AAAGTCGCTATTGATGGCACGAAGGCTCCTGGAAACTGCAGAGGTGACCTGCTTCGCGAGCGCAGGTTACGATTTTGCAAAGCCATTGATCAGACAATTTAAGCAGCACAGCCGATGTCCTCGCAAGACAGTGCGACCAGTAGCTCAGAGTTCCGACAAGTTGGAAACAATAGGGGATCTCCTAATAAGGGTTCATGACGTGTTCGCAAATTATTTAAACCAAAGTATTCTAATTCGTGTGTTAAAACGTTAAATTAGATGGTTGCTTCATGACGACGCCTGCCAGTTCCGAGAGAGCATATTGCTCGACAATTGTTAGCTCGAATCGGCCCGCTCGTGTCAATCCGGAAGAATGGTCTAACGACCATCGGTTGCAACCAGCGTTGTGCATTCAATTATGGAAATCAATTTATTGCAGTATTGGCGCCCCCAATACAATGTCAGTATTGTATTTTTCGTTGTAGCTGCTATTATGTTGGTGATACATTTACTCAAGTTCGTTTTTCAATAAAGTACGATTGTATTCCCCAGAATTTAACCAACAATCCAATACTGTACTATTTGTGTCGCCAGAGCAGATCTCAATCAATTTTTCAATACTATTGTCCCAACGCTGGCTGCAACTGTGCCACAAACTCCCCCCCCCCCAGAAGGCTCAAATGATACAGTGTGAAGCTTCGACTCACAAAACACATGATACCGAAGTAGTTGAGACAGACTCACCTCGAGTGTGTCGCTCTGGCGGAGGACCTTGCGCATGGATTTCAATATATTGACCTGCTGTAAAAGTATATCGTTATGAGCTCGTAAATTCATACGTACCGTGCGGTGTCGATCCTCCCAATTGACCATAACACGATCGTGCAACTTGAGCTGCCCCACCGCCAACTCCGCCGTTTGTACTCTTCAGGCTGGGTGTCTGTTGCTTCCTTTTCACCTTTCCGTCCAGCTGCTGCACTTGCGTTCATAGCAACTCTATCTCTGCTTTCTGTTGTGTACGTTACAGTGGTATCTTCGCTTCGCCACGTGTCTGCTTAGCAGATCCGCGTCCTAGCGCTGAAGGAGCTACAACTTCGATGCCAAAGAGATCGGCCTCGGCGCTATGTCAGTCAACTCAGGACCTATATTTTTACAAGTTGCGTTGTAAAAATGTATACTACAATATGCTGGGACGTTGTTGGGGAGTAAGTACTCCAGAGTTTTGGTCGACCGAAGAGTGAACCTAAGCACCCGAGAGTGTTTCACGAGAATCAGCGTAATACATAATATCTTTACGTTTCTGGTGTTTCACAGCGTCAAAACTAAAAGGTATTAGCCACATTAAACATATACGTCTGCAGTTGGTGCAGTTCTTACTGTACCAGATCTATTTACTAGGGTACTTCGCTTTAGGCTGGGAGGATGCGAAATAGGATAGTAGTATTTTGTTTAACTACCCTAAGGCATCTCCTGTGGTGGGTCTTATCCGGCCATGACTTTTTATCAGAAAAGGTCAAAACCAGAGGTTGGAAAAACAATTATGATTAAACAAATAATTGGGTAGTTTTTTTTATTATCGGGACTAGTCATATGCATAAACAATATGAGATTAGACCACAACTTTGCTATAAATATGGCAAAAATTCATCAATCTACTCGTTTGACATTATGGTACGAACAAACAGATCTGATGACATCATTTTTGGGGCCTCTCACACCACAATCGTGTCGATATTAAACCAGTGGGATACGAGTGCACCCTGAAACCACACCTCCCGTCTTGGGCATGTCCTGCAGAAGGTAATTTCAAGACACAACTCAATTTTCTCTGACTATGATAAGGATGGTCCTCAAAAAGAGAACCATTGCCTAGTTTTACACATCTCGTGACCAGGGGCTCTGCCGCTGCAATATTTGCGATAGCGAGTGAAAGCACGCTCAAGAGACACGATACTCCAACCTCAAGGCGCATCTGGAGGGAAAGCATACGTGCTATCAGGCTTTGTTCGAGAGCAGTTCAGGTCGCTCTTTTCAATTGTATGGCTTTGTTTCGGAAGTGTCAAGTCATCTGTTTCAGTGTGTCCAGTGGTTTATCATGTTGAACATGTCCATCCACGAAGTTGAATACGCTTCCACACGATCCATAAACAAGCTGCGGCCTGTTGTTATTAAAGCGGTGGAAAAATGTCTTTAATGTCTCGCAATAAAGGCCTGTCGCAAGCTTGTAAAAAAAGGAACTTGGCACGCTGTTTGGTCCGATGATCGATGGATGGTCACATGGTGGCGTGCGCTATGTCGCACTTTTCGCTGTTTACGAGACCGATAGTGATCTTTGCGTTCATCGTCTGGGTCTATCCCCTCTGGCAGATGAATTGCAGACAGGTGATGCGCATATTAAGCTGTTTTAGAAACCATTTTGGATGTTTATGCCAAGATAACAAACATGATAGGATTTCTAGTGGACGACATGTGCAGCACCAATCAGTCTGTTGCAAACAAAGTGGACGTCCCGCTTGTTTGGTGCGCAAGCCGCCAACTCAACCTCGCAGTGAAACGTTCTTGGTCCCACATGACTCCTTACAGTCTGAAGTAAACGCCCTCATGGTGGAGTTGCCTCAAAAGAACAACTACGCCCAGAAAAAAGAAGCACAGCGAATTTTTTTCCTGCGAAGCAAAACGTGACTCGCTGGTCATCCACGGTTAATGTGATACAGATATATTCAAATACGATCTGAGACCAAGAAGGTGGAAGCCGTGAAAGAATTTATCCCAACAGACACGAGGAAGGGGATAACCCTCGACCTGTTCGAGGAAATGAAGAAGTTTGAAACCATCTGCCTGCATTAATGTGTGACGACACGGGCTTGGCTGAGGTACGACACATGTTTGACGCCCTTATCGCGAAGTATTCAGTCATGCGAGAACATCTGAAGGCGACTGCTAAGATTGTACACCGACCGGCATTTGAAACAGTGGTTGTGAATGTGAAGTACAGTAACCTGTATTTCAATCTGCCCTTCAACTTGGTGGCAAATAGGTGCATAAGAAATCTAATGTCAACAGGGACAGTAATTATCAGGTAGCCTTACAGACTGGCAATCAGGTTGGTAGAAGGAATAATACTAGCGAGTGCTCAGAGAATGTTTAATATTGTTCTTCCATTTCGCGAAAGCGACCAAGTACGAAAACCTGCTTTTTAATCTGTTAACAAAGCTGCACTTGACCTGACAACACTTATCATGTTAAACTTTGAACCTTGCCAGTAACCTGGAATACAACCTGGTAGCTAACCTGTTGCAACTATATCAATGCCACTTCTTTAAGGATGCCCAAACAATTTGATATCTCCATTAAAAACGTGCTGCAACAAACACGCGAAATCCAAGCCGATTCTTTTGTAAACATTGAAAGTATTAATATAATTAAAGTTATTTTTAACGAGAGTTTATATTTCGTCCTAAAATATCCTGAATATTTAAAAAAAAAAACAGATTAGAAAACAGCATAATTTCACACGGTTATGCAAAAATAACCTGGGCTGTAACATCGTCCTTTTTTACGTTTGAGGTTATTATACATGCGAGTTGAAAGTATTAAGCCGTTTCTTCATTAATGTTCACAAAATTCCTTTAGAGAACGGATGAACGTACCAGCTTTTCGACATCAGTCAATTGGCGTTAAGTGATCACAATTCAGTGCTCAGTGGTAACGAGTCCAAACGTATCGGTGGTCACAAGTAAAAAAATAAAATACTCGTAAGAGACTCATCCCTGTCAGTGAAAGCGATGAAGTTGGACACGATACATGAGTCATGCAAACCAATGCATGAGTTTTTCATAATCATTTTTATTTGAAAGATGCTGAAAATCCCACAGCAGCAGAAACCAACAGACAATACTCTTTCTGACCATCGTTTAGCCCGTGTTGATTTTAGTTCGGTAAATGTCTTGCACAACCTCTAGTCACATTTTGTGCATACGTTAAAGATTATCTTCAAAAGTATAGGTAAATTGTGGATGCAATCCTAGCCAGTCGAACATTGCCGTAGATTCCGTTATGAGTTCTAGCAATCGAATCTTTAATAATTGGATGGATACGTTGCCAGCATTGGTAGTATTAGTATATAGCGAGGCTACTGAACTGGCAAGGCTACTAAACTGGCAGCGTACCTTATTACTCGGAGAAGCGGGAAAAATCTCACCCAAATGCGATGGGTTATTTTACTGATCACCGATAGTCCGTGCGAGCATTCAGCAATAGGTAGTAAATTATCGAAGCTTTGCCCAATCGTCAACCCACAGAGAACCTCTGTGATCTATGCTTGACACGATATGATGACATTACATGCCACGCGAAGGCTAGAACGTGCCATGCTGCACCAAATCAAATAGTTCACGATGTCGATGGGCTGGTGTAACGACTAGAAGCAGCCAAGCAGTTCCGAATTGACCGCGTTCACGATAGTCATAGCTATTGGGATTAATCAGCTGATGGCTTTCCTGTAAGGCTGACCCCATCGTGAATGCACCAAAAGTGTAATTGAAAGCCACATCTAGCATTTCTAAAATGGTTCCCTGCTTAGTCACTTTCGAATTGCTGCCGGACATGTGATATAATCCACTGTTTTCTTAGAAGTCCCGGTTTACTTTCCACAGTACAGCAGCGTAATATCTTCGTGAAGGCCACGAGTTGTTGCTATGAGATCATTGCCACCACTGGCTCACAGGGATCGGTAGAGGAAGCGTTGTGTCGTGGTTGAGACGCAGTTGTATCCACACGCCTCTGCAGTTAGATACACCAAGGAATCATGTGATGAAGGGCTTAGCTGCACATCCGCAGCAAGATCACATCGGGGACATGTATGAACCCTTTCAATCCCGAAAAGTATTCTGTATGATACAGAATAGAGGTTGCCTTAATAACTGTATGGAGTCATTAGCAAGCTGAGACTGGTGCTTGAAACCAATCAAGAAAAGCGCGCGAAATTTTACAGAATTTGGACGGCAAAGAACATAAAAACAATGTCTGACTCGTTGTTGATTGGATAATTTCAAACATATGACCCTCTAATAAAATATACCCTTCACAATCCGGTTAGTAGCTAAGAGCCAGCTCCTAGCCAACCGAGATCCCCCTCCGCTTACTGTTAGAATTTCGCGTTTGAACTCCCACCCCAATGTCCGTGAGCGTCCTCAGAGCTGAGAACCAGTCCTTGAGACGCGAACTGCGTGCCGCCAGTCGCAACGTCGAACGCCTTACGGCTATTATTGAGCGTAGAGACCGCGATATCGCCAACCTTATTACGGCTCATCACACCGAGAAGATGTTTCTTCTAAACAACCTTGAAGCGCGCATGACTGAGCTCATGCGGCTTCATCCAGAGCTCGTTGGCCAGATAAACGGACAGGAGAACCGGGTGACGATGGCCCCTGCCGAAGAGAACAAGGTCCATGGCTTCGCGCTGACGATCAATCCGATGCAGGAGGAAGGAGCGCACGAAATTCGATTCATTGCCGGCCAGGAGAAATACGTCACTAGAGCGGCGGCTGGAGCGGCTGGGCTCCTTTTTGAATTCACCGAAACGGGTAATCCCATCGACCTCCGACAGAACTTCAAGCGCAAAGCCAACGCTCGTCTCCAAGCTCGTGTGGGAGCATATCTGCGTAACCATCCGGTAAGTCTTTTTGATAAGGTCTATCATTGTTCTGTATCTAATCGAAATGTTAGAGCAGGACGAAGTGGCCCCCGACATTGTCTTCCGTTGCTGCCGTTCCAAGTGGGTCGTCAATACGCCCTTCCCCCTCCAAGAGGTTGCGGATATCCTAACTGAACTTTTGGAAGAGACAAACATGGCCATGCATTTGGCAGAGTTGTACACTGAGATTCACTCGCAGCTTCAGGACTATATCCGAATTCAGCGGTTTTCACTTGTGCCGTGATTCGTGGGGCCAATAAGGGGGCGCAAACCACAGCAATCTCGACTGTCTTGTCGATAAAATGTTGATTAGCCTGGCACGACCCTCCTTGAGTACTTGGACGCTCACTTGAACTGAAAACTACTAATAACTGCAAAACCAGCAACCGTAAAGCCTAAATACACTCCATTTTGATCAGTTCACGATTCACGCAGTTTCTCCGTACTCGTCAAGACTGGTGTTCCAACTCACAGTATCACCTCAACGTTTATCCGAGTTATGTTCGCAGCGGAACGTCAGAAAAGTTGGCCGTCTTCCCGGACTCCATCGCTTTGGTCGTCTTCACGCTCAGCAACGCCTCACATCGATCGTCTTCAGTGCCATCTCATCTGCAGTCGGCACCGTCTCGGTGATCTCTGGGGTAATCGTGTTGAAGTCCAGCGCGGCCTCCGCCTCGTTGGAATTATTCATTCTTGATCCCACTTGGTCTCCGGTTGAACTTTTTCGTTTACCAGCTCGAAAACGAATCCGTTTAGCACCAGGGGGAAGCTGGTATCCATTTTTCCAACGACCATGCCAAATTTGAGCACAGGTCAAAGTGTTGCCTTCTTGGAGCCGTCGCACTGTGTTGCACAACGCGACCCTACCACCCCATTCGTTGCTGCACGTGGGGCATGTGTACGTGGTTTCTGAATTCTTCCCTGGACTTATAGCGGAGCACACCTTGCACAAAAAATGGCGTAACTTCTTCTGGTCCGAGTAGCGCTCTGTAATTTGCTCGAGTCGGTGGGAGTCGATTGCAATCGGTTCTGTAGCCAAATCCTCGCCGAGCATGTTTGTTTCGAAATGGGACGGTTGTAGACCCAGCAGTTCCTTGTGAAGGCGACGCATGTACGTACTGCGCGTGAGTGGTGACCTTTCCTTTTTTCTTCTTCTGCATCATCTTATGGATAATGAAGCCGTTGGTTATGGCCATATCAACCAACCCCAGGAAAAGTTGCTTGTAATATTTCCTGAATGCAACCGTCTTCTGGAGGGAATAACGCTGAAGCCGGATCTGATCATGTACGTCCACCCCACCCATTCCTGTAAGGTAATCATTTACGAGGTTGGGGCAAGGGACAACCGATCGGCTTCCATTCTTCTCAGTTCGGAGTACGGAGGTGGTCTGAGTACTACAGCCCGTTGCGATCATATTCACCGGGCGGGAGTCCATCCACGACAGGGCGACGAGTTCAGGAAAATTAACACACTGAGCGATACGATATGTACCCCTCGGAATATGCTTTGGCCGTTTCTTCTGGGTGAACTGGATCGACTTGCACCAACCCAACCGATTAGTTCGCACAGTTCCTACATGATACAGCCCCATAGACAACAGTCACGCCGCCGGAACCAGCGAGGGTAAATGCTGGGGGCTTAGTGTCTACACAAGCGACGGCTGATTACGTGGACACAATATCAGCACCGGCTAATGCGAGTGCAGGGGGATTAGTGTCTACACAAGCGACTGCTAATGCCGAGGCCACACTATCAGCACCGGCGAGTGTGCGTACAAGGGATTCGGCGTCTACAGAGACTACGGACAACTCCAAAGTCACGTTTCCGACACCGGTGAGGGCGTGTATCGAGCGTTTGGCGTCTGCTGCCGCCATAACCGACTCCACAGCCATATTGCCGATACAGGCAAGTGTATAGACTGGGGGATTGGCGTCTTCGATGACCACGAAGCCGACACCGGCGAGTCCAAATACTGGAGGCTTGGGACTTGGAGCTGCGACGGCCGACTCCACGGCAGTAACACTGGCGAGTGCAAGTACTGGGGGTTTGGTGATTGGAGCCGCGACTGCATACTCCATGGTCACAGTGCCGACACTGGAGAGTGCAAGTACTGGGGGCTTGGTGCTTAGAGCTGCAGCGGCCGACTCCACGGACACACCGGCGTGTGCAAGTACTGGAGGTTTCCCTTCCGAAGGCGTGAGGATCGACACCCAAGCGGCATCCACGAAAACTATAAGAGCTATTGAAACTGGGCGGGATACAAGAAGGCCGCGACGAACAAAGTCTAGCAGTGGACATGCGTTAAACTCCTCAGCTCCCCATGCCGCGAATATGGAAGGAAAAAGCCAGCGTCAGTACTAGAGGGGTCGACGGAGAGTTCGCTTACGACACAATCGATTGCGATAAACGATGCTGGGCTGAGGAAAGATGTCTGGGTAGGATTGTCGCGCAGTGGATGGAAGAGAAGAAAACCAACACCTCGAAGATTGAAAACTGTTTTTGTGGTGGCTGGAAAAGGTGGTCGGCTATCACAACTGACTAAAGGCGTTGATTATTTTGAAGGTAATGTAACTATTCCGTCATTATAGTTTCTCATCACTCATTAGTACTGTTTGGATAGGGGAGCAAGATCTCATGGCATACTTAGATGCAACAGACACACCTGCTTCTCGTACAAGTGACATTCACAGCACAGTTGCGTCACCAGCTGCTCAAGCAAGTGAAGGCAATGACGCGGAGGAGGTTATTGGTGATTCCTTATCAGCATTCTGGAAGCCATGCGATCACAAGAGCTCTTTCATCCCGTCAGCGAAGACGATATCAATTTGAGCCCAGAGAGTCTTGACCGTGGCTACGGGTCCGAAGAGCTGTCTAACGAAGGCTCAGACGATGAAACGGAAGTTACGGAGCCAATGTGCTACGTTGATGACCTAGATTCAAGTGACAGCGACGATGACAACGAAGACATTACCTTTGACATTCCCGACGATGAACTTCGCAATATTGCAGCTCAAGGTTGGAATATCTACAATGAGCAGCATTCAGGCAAGATTTCCATTATTTTAACTTCGCTTGCCCATTTGGTAACATAACATGTTGTATTGGTTTTTTCAGATCAATTGAGGCTCAACGCACCAGCAGACTACTACTCTGGTCCCTGGGGTCCGACAAGGTCAGCAACTGCTTTTGGAGACTCACCTCTCGGGTTGTTTTTCTACTTTCTACCAAAGGCACTGTGGGTAAGTATAGCAGATGAGACGAACCGATATCGCAGTCAATCGGTCCCAGCGCTTGCTGAAGAAAAAAGAAACAAGTTGCTGAAAGCACAGCAGTGTGACCCAAGCGTCAGTGTTCCGGGATTAGAAGATGTTGAAGCAAGCCTCAGGCACTATGATTAAGTTCAACCTCACGAACTAGTCCATGTGATCGGACTGCTTATTGCTCGCTCGGTGTGTCCAATGTGTGAGAACGTGGCAAAGCACTGGTAAACTACCGAAGACGGAGCAGTTCCTCGAGGGACATGGGGACGATACATGAAGCGTGGACACTACGAAGAAATTATTCGCTTCATTCACTTCAACGATAATGAAAGTTCCGGTGCACTTCATGACAAAGCCTGGAAGATATGCCCAGTTTTACAAGCCATTGAGACTACATTTCGGCGTGGTTATCGCCTTGGCCCTGGGATTTCGTTTGACGAAGGGATGGTCCCCAATAAGAGCAAGTTCAACCCACTGAAAGTCTACAACAAGGACAAGCCCAACAAGTGGGGCACAAAGTTTTATTTGACCTGCTGCTCGACTACGGCTTATTGTGCGAGGTAATCAAAACAGGACTGTGTTTTTGTTAATAAATTGTAGCTGACATGTAATGTGAGCAGAGTTGAAGTGTACTGCGGCAAGGAGCAGGTCTTCAAAGGGAATGTTGGACCAACTGCTGTCGTTCGCAACATTTCGAAAGTACTAAGTGGCCAGGAGGGCAAACGGCTCATCATTACAGACAATTACTACTCGTCGGTTGCGCTCTCTATGGAACGCCGAATCCGACGCACTTGTACTTGCTGCTGCCATTGGTTCTGGGGCGTGTCCGTACAATACCTCTTTGATTTTTTTACAAATCAAATTTGGAAACTCCCCTATAATCTGCATATTGTGTTTTGTACACATAGAAAGCATATAAACTTGCATATGCGAGAAAACTTGCTCGTTTCAACCTTTCCGGTGATTATTTTTGCAAGTTCCGCTGAAGATTGGTATTCTGTATGATATAGAATATAGGGTTGAAAGGGTTAATTGAGGTTTGCACGTTATTGCACCGGTTCTGACCAACGGATCCAACGTGAATCTGAGTCCAACCCGTAAAGCAACTTTTTGTCTTGCATTCACTATGCTCCACATCTGATTCCCTCGATCGAGCCAACACCACGGAAAAAGAAACGGCCAGATCCAGCACTTCCGCATCTGCACTGCCAGACGCAACAGGTCGGGAGCTCTGCAGGTCTTCGAGCAGTATGATGAACGCCTTAGCGGCCACGACAACCCCGAGAGAGTGAGTATCGCACCCTAGTGACTCTCTTTTTGCCTCACGCAACCGGGCTGTTGCGTGTTGCCAATTCCCAAATGTGGCAATCTTTTTATTATTTCAATGACGGAATGTATGTCGCTCACGGATTGTTTGTAGAGGCATGCTGCTGACTGCTGCCGCAGTGATCTCTGGTTGCGCCTTGCTGGCGGCCAGAGGCGTCGTATGCTCTCGTCGAATCATGACCAAGCGCATCATCGCGGGCAACTCGGAGCTCAACGAGTTCATGACCAGAGTAAGTGAAATATGGCAAATACGGCTGTTATCATCTTATTTATGGCATTCTCCCCCATATCTCACCTTTACAGGCGCTACAGCCTCTTCTGGACCGGTACACACCGACATGGTGGACAAACTCCCACATCCAGTGCTTCCTGACCTTCCTGGTGCCTCAAAGTCCCGTCAAGTACAAGAGAGACATCCTCACCTTCAAAGATGGCGGTCAAGCTTCTCTGGATTGGGCCTTGGAGGCTTCCGTGGCAATGAAATCCCCACTGACAACCGACTCTCCCGTTGCCATTATCATGCACGGACTCGTGGGTTGCAGTCAGAGCATGCGGTCTCTTTGTGCAGAGGCTCTGGCCCACGGATACCGCCCCGTAGTATTCAACAAGCGCGGCCACGGAGGTCTAAAACTCGCCACACCAAAGCTCCAGGCTTTCGGCTGTGTGCAGGACCTGCAAGAAGTCATCGCTCATGTGGAAAATATCTTCCCAAACAGTGAACTATACGGCATTGGCTGCTCTGCTGGCTCGGGTTTACTGTGCAGATATCTGTGCGAACTCGGTGAAAAGTCTCGTCTCCGAGCCGGAGTGTTGATTTCGCCCGGTTATAACGCCTTTGACCTGTTTTGCGGTGGCAAAATCAACCCCGTGTACAATTTTCTCATGACATTTACCCTCAAATCGTTCCTACTTCGCCACAAGAACGAGTTGAGTCAAGTGGTGGATGTGGCACAAGCTCTGAAAGCCACGAGTATCCGCGAATTTGACGAGCACGTGTACATGAAGATGCATGGATATGAAGATCTGGAGGCCTATTGGAAGGTGAACAACCCCATGCGAGATGTGGACAATCTCAAGATGCCGTTCCTGTGTATCAATGCACTGGACGATCCCGTGTGTACGAAGGAGACGATCCCGTATCACGAATTTAGCAGAAAACCCAACGCTATGCTGATAACTACGGCTGAGGGCAGCCATTGTGCCTTCTACGAGGGCAATTTCCAGCTCAAATCGTGGTGCCATGGCGCTGCGATGACGTATCTGGACCGTCTGCGTGAGTTTAATCGCAGCGAGAACATCTCCGAGGCCAGTGTGGACGCTGTTACTGCTGCCACAGCTTAGCAATAGTAACCAAGTCGCATTGTCATCGTGTCGACATAGATCCTGGCTGTGTGCATTATCAATTGTGTTGGTTCTCTCTACGAACCTTTTTGCATTTCTTCGCAAACCAGCGACAGTCATCGTCTTCGTAGGGTGTTATGGGTTACATGATGCATCAGGTGAAGGGATAATCGGTCGTTCCTAGTGGAGCACTGACATACCAGCCATTCGATTCGTTGGGATACACCGGAAGAAGCACACGGAGCTGATTATAAACGGAGGAAAATCCTTATTCTGAGTCATTGAATCCTTTCGGGCATCAAGTGTATCAAACGAGATCAGTGCTCTGTGGACTCCCATCAATAACATTTCCAGTCCTGGACGCTGACGCAGTGAAGAGCGAACATCCGAGGAACTCCTTGCATTTCTGAGTCGGAATCTGAATCCCCTTGCGGCTTTGAATCGTCTCTCCAAGAAGCGCGGACCAGCATCTGGCATCCGTTTAACTTCGTGCAACTTGATCTTAGCCGCTTCACGAGCTGCCACTTTCTCTTGACGTAGCTTGACTGAGATCTGTCGTTGCCTTGGGCTGTACAAATATTGTAACTCATTTCCGACTGCATTAACCTAACGTTTCCTCCCCAGAATCAGCGAGGTCTGCACCTGGCTTGCCGGTCAGCAACGACGTGGATCGAGAACTCGTTCATGCTCCATCGTTTCGGTCATTTAGTGCAATATCTACTGGGGTCGGAGCTTCACCACACGAAACAGCTTGACTCTGATTCGCGTATACGAACCAGGGAGAGCCCATGACATCGCAGTAGCGAGTGTTCCAGAGCTCTAACGGCTTCATCTCCATGATCTTCTTCTCGCGAGATTATTGAGAATCTTTCAACTGAAGATACCCTTCCCTTCTCGCTGCTGCGATAAATAACCATGTAGCTTTCACCGACACTGTGTTGACACTATGAAGACAGATTTTCCACTTAGAAGCGTGCTCTGTGGTCTTCGCAAGTACTCGGCGGTGGCATGACGACACTGTTCGTTTGGGCGCTTCGGCACGGCTCCAGAGCGTTGAGCTGCGTGAGCTAGAAGGACAGCATGGTTCTTTGAGTGCGGCGTAGTGTGAAATTTGTCGTTAGAATGTTAAACGTCTCTACTACGTGTAGTTAAGGGTCTCGAAAGGATCAACTGCTAATGAAGAGAGATGTAGGGACGGCTGAGATCCGAAAAGGCTTGACCACTTGAAAGTTCGTCACCTTTGATCACCAGACATTTAGCTGGTCGTCCACGTGGCAGTTGAAGTGGTTCCTGTCAGGATTTGCTGCGCTCGAAACCGCATGGTCATCAGCACGTTAATGCATACCAATGTGCAATATCACGCGTCACCACGTCACCAAAGACGCGGCATCGATTTTTCAAAAGACTGACTTCATGACTGCAATCGTGGAGGACACCGCAACAACGTCAGCTCTGGAGGCTTACGAGCGTTGACGTATGTCAAATGAGACTGATAGAGAGCAGTTCATCCTTGATTGTTGAGGCCTTACACTTCCGTTCTCGTGATAGTTGCGACTGCCGCATACTAGCTCGTGGTGCTGTCCAGCTGCCACCTCGTATCCTTCCATCGGGCCATGCAATCCGGCCACCTGCCGCTTGATGACATGACGACCACCAGAAGTCTCAGTCAGATCGTCGCTACGCAGGACAAGCTGTTTGAGAGGAGCCATTCGACCATCGGGCTGTCCACAGCGAACACGGATTTCGTATGCAATGCCAGGCGGTCCGTGTCAGTGAGTCAACGCTTGGCAATGTTGGCGTCGCTGGACGACATTCCTTCCTTTCCTGAGCTAAACTGGTGGCGTTATTCTTAAGGAGAAGGCCCGCAGTGTTATCCCAAAATGAGCTTAAAGGCTAGACAATAGGAAAACAACTATCCCTACTCTCTCTCTCTCTCATTCCTTTCTGAGCCCACACGCGGCCGTCCGTCAACAGCGGAAGTAAACCACTTCGACTGCCCGGCACTGTACGCACAGGTGGCGGCGGCATTCCAGATTGGCGAGCGACCTCAATCATTTCGTCGTCGGACGACATGACGAAGCAGAGTCGCTCCTTTAAGCTGCCGCACCCTTCGACTCGAAGAGAGAGGCGTTTGTCGCCTGGTCAAGTCAACTTGCACTTTCAAAAAACACGCAGCAGCAGCACACGGTTCAGGAAGACCCCACCAACATGCAACCGTGGGCTACACCTGAGACCACGATCGTGCTCACGGATTTACTGCACTCACAGCCACAACAACTGAGAAACGGCGTTTACGTAAAACCAGAGCCGAGGTATGTGAGTTCTCGATCCGGGTTTGTGGAGTTGCCACCGTTGCTCCCACCCCGAACACCGACGTTACCAGCCATCACGGATGTGCTTCGGACAACCAGTCCAGAGCAGCAGAGATACCAGTACGAGAACCAGGTAAACACCGCGACCACAAAACTCCCTCGATCAGCCTCAACCGCAAGAACCAGCTACGGACTACCTGCTACTCAATACTCCGCTAATACCTTGACGTATCCCGCTAAGTTTATCTGTAAGCACAGCACGACCGTAATGTTTTATATATCTTTCTCTAACTTGTTCTAGCGATTGTAGATCGACCGAAAAACACGGACTACAACACGCGAAATAGCCCCATGCTTCCCTATCTGCCAACGACTTCAATCCAATCTGCAAACACCAGTGGGGGAATGACCCCACCAGGACTTGTGAGTACCAGGACGCACCCTATCGGCACGCCGAGCCCTCGAGTAGCAGCTCGACCGGCAAACCGAACGTGCAGATTTACTGGTTGCAGCCACTACGTGGTGGATCATGGACTCTGCGTCCGACACGGGGTATGTAGGCAACCTGTTTGCTATTTTTTCGACTCATATCTGACTCGTTAATATGGAACAAAAAGGGTGGAAAGCGCTGTACAGCTGAAGGCTGCTCTAGTCGAGCCAAACACTTTGGTCGTTGCTGGAAACACGGTACGTCTCAGCCCATATATCTACGAAAAATTTATCTAGCTAACGGTATATTCTCCTTTCCAGGTGGCTCGTTAGAGTGTAAAGCTCATGGTTGTTCCAACCGAGCCAAGTCTCGTGGCTACTGCTGGTCTCATGGCGGGGGTACCAAATGTAAAGTAGCCTGCGATAAAATCGCCATCTCCAACGGCTTGTGCTGGGCTCACGGTGGAGGTATGTCTGCAGACAGCTGCATTCTCTATTAGAAAAATTTCTATGCTAATTGGTAGTGACTGGTCCTATGAATTGCAGGCAAACGCTGCATCGTTCCAGGGTGCCGAAAGCAGGCGTACGAGCGGACGTGCAACTACTGCAACAGTCACTTCCAGCAGTACCAGCAGGCAGCATTGGAGCTAGCAAAGAAACAGCCACCGCTCAAGTGAACCATTTGAGTTACTTGTAGTATTTATTCAGCATGCTGCATCACATGTTACGACTTCCGCGTGGATGACTCTTTCATCGTGGCGTTGAAGGGATCGACACGAAAGAGCAAATCATGCGATTTATGATAACAGTCGTCAATTTACCGAAAAGGTGGGGCAAGTAGTAAAGGAGAGTGGTGTTTGGAAAGACGTACGAGCTTAAGTATCTGTAGTTGACTACTGTATTGGTTTGATGAAGACGCATTTTACACATCCACTATCTGTTCAAGGCTGGTCTCAATTGTTGACTTTGTTCGCTACTGCACAATGATTAAAGTCAAAAGCTAATATACAACCATGTCGAAGCTACGATGTGAGGCTCTGCTTGGCGGCATGCAAAGGGTCCTCGTTGTCAACAACGATCATTTCTTGCGCGTGGGAATTACAAATCTTGATGCTACGATTGAAGCGCAACAATTCAAATTCACAGTAGCAATTTAATGGAAACCGCTTGATGGTCACCGAAGTATATTTCAATATCATTGGCGTTACCAGCAACACAATACATATGCAATGTACGACCACGGCGGAATACGTGTACCTACAGCAAAGCACGATTAGAGAATCAGCCACCACCGGAGATGCTTTCCTTGACACATTGGATTGTCCATTTATCGCGCTGTTACAATCGCAAAACAAGGCCTGCAAATAGTAATTTCCGCAGTTCATTGAGCGAGGTATTAGTTATGCAGTGAGCTGCAGCATCATCTTTGAAAACTTCATTTCAGCCAATCCAATCACTTTACCACGAAACTAAATGCAACGATTGGTCCATCACACAATTGCTACAAAAATAAGATACAAATAAGATTACTCGACATGATTTAGTCCGCGTCATCACCCTTGATTGATGCGCATCAACTCTCAATTCATTCCTTAATTTGCAACCCACCTGACAAGTGCCCTCCTCGAGATATGCCAAGCTATCGTGAGCTTCTGTGCACCAAACTATCCACCAATTTCCGCGAGGCGACCGAGATCGTGACGCATCCGGATTTACCGAAGGCCAACGCCGGTCACATTGTGGTCAAGAACAAATATCTGGGTGTGAACGCCACCGACATCAACGTGACTAATGGCGTCTTCAACGAAAATCCTCCACCTTTTGGCACGGGTCTGGACGCTGTTGGCACCGTGGTCGAAGTCGGCCAAGGTGTTACCGAAGTTAAAGTGGGCGATTACGTCGTGTATGACAAGTTCGGCGCTTACGCTGAATACGTCGAGGTGCCCATCGGCTCCGTACACAAGCTACCAGAGCTCTCACCAGCAGCGCTGCCATTGACGGTGTGTGGTATCTCAGCGTCTATTGCTATAAAGGAATGCGGCGAGCTCAAAACCAACGAGACGGTGTTCGTGACGGCGGCAGCTGGAGGAGCCGGTCAGTTTGTGGTGCAGCTCGCAAAGATGGCCGGAAACCACGTTATCGGCACATGCAGCAACGACGAGAAGGCCAGATATTTGAAGGAACTCGGCTGTGATCGTGTGATCAACTACAACAAGGAGAATATCGCCGAGGTGCTAAAGGCAGAGTACCCTAAGGGTATCGACATCGCATTCGAAACCATCGGAGGGGACATGTTCAAGATCGTGTTCGACAATATGGCCATCCGCGGTCGTATCATTGTGTTTGGGCACATTTCAGAGTACCGTGGCGACGCCCCACGCTCACCCTTCACCGTCAGTGCGATGAATGAAGTACTGCTCATGAAGGCAATTACTGTTCGTGGGTTCCTCCTACGCACGTATAGCGACATCATCCCGACCCACATGGTCAATCTCTTCAAACTTATCAAGGAGGGGAAACTGCTTGCTGGCGTGGACCCCACCGAGTTCCACGGACTCGAACAGGTCTCGGATGCCATTGCCCACATGTACGCTCATAAGAACATCGGCAAGATCGTGGTGCAGCTACCGTAGAGATTACAATCCATTCGTTCAGGAGGCGGTCACAACAATGACCATTGCCGTTAAACAGGGTGAGGATAATGAATCACTAGATGTTAGCTTCAGTTTTCCGCTTTCATCACAGGGCCCTGTTGAAAAAAAACACACGCACACACACAGAGACTAAAACCACTGGGTTTTCGACGATATCGTAAAAGATACCTCTCGCGCTGGAAAAAGACAATGTACTAAGCATGCATGTGATGCACGATGTCCTCAGCGAGAGCAGATCAGAATAATTGCACTCGTGGAGATGATCTTATAGATTCTTAGTAGCTAAATATTAGGTACAGTCATTGAGAGTTGAGTTTTCGATTTATAGATCTCTACCTCTCTAGTATCACCACATTATATTTCGAAATCAGTACTAAGTACTGGTACTAAGTACTGGCAAGTCTTGCCAAAATAAACACTCTTCAAAAGACTTCAAAAAGAAAAATCCGGTGAGGATATCTACTGCAAATAAAACCACTCTTTTTCGAACAGGGGCGTACATGCAGTGTGGTTTAAAGCCGCGACACGCGGCTTTATTTTTCCGGCGTGATTTGCTGGCTTGAGCCGTTAATTAGCGTCATTATACACACGTA